CCTGGCGTGATGGACCTAACATTAGGGACCTGGCATGAAAGACCTTACAACATTTTAGACCTAACATTATGGACCTAACAACATTATAGATCTAACTGCAACATTATAGGCCTAACAACGTTTTGGACCTAACAGCATTATGGACCTAACAACATTATGGACCTAACAACATTATAGACCTAACAACATTATGGACCTAAAAACATTATGGACCTAACAACATTATGGACCTGTCATTATGGACCTAACAACATTATGGACCTAACAGCATTATGGACCTAACAACATTATGGACCTAACAACATTATAGACCTAACAACATTATGGACCTAAAAACATTATGGACCTAACAACATTGTGGACCTAACAACATTATGGACCTAACACCATTATGGACCTAACAATATTATGGATCTAACAACATTATGGACCTAACAACATTATGGATCAAACTAGTGACACCTAACAAGATGGACCCTAATTTTATCTTATTTTTGATGTCACGGAATTTCCCCCTCGAGTTTGCTGATGTCAGCAGAATAAGGAGAGGATTAAATTTGCGGACTAAGCTAAAATCAAAGTTTCTGGCGATTTTGCAAATTGATCGGAAAGTTTCAGTTTTTTTTATAAAATTCCTGAAACCTGAAACTGATTGGACATAAAATGAGAATAAAAACCTGTGCATAGAAAAATTAACGAAATTCAAAAATACATCATTACATGTGCATTTAAAAAGATTTCTAAATACCCTGAATATAATTTTGAAGAAAAAAACACATAAAATGTATTTAATGTTGTATGACTATAATTATTAGTACGGATAGAGTCGTAAACATGGTTAGTTTATATAGAACTTTTTAACTACTTTCTTATAATTACCTATATATACAACGAAAAATTGTAAAACTTATATAATTTTAAAACCTTTGAATAAAAAAATTGTCTTTAAAAAGAACGGTAAAATAAGCATTTAGCCCCATTTGAAAACAACAAAAAACATTACAATTTTAGTATTTAGTAATCTATCTACAGTTTTTAGTTGCCCATAACCAAAAAAATAGCGTTATTTAAATCAGAAAAGTTTAAAATTCTGTTTGCTGAATTTATAAAGGGAGTTGGGGTATAGGGTTTGCACACATTATACTCTGACTTACAGTGATCGGTATTTATACCAATGCAGTAAAGACGACTTCTATATTTAAGTTTTGATTACTGAGAAGCTTTTTGTTTAAATTAGAAGTTAACGAGTAAACTAAGAAAAGTTGTTAATTGACCGCTTCTCTTTGAATAACGATGTTTCTATGTATCTAGATGTTGTTTGAAACCTTGGTAGAAATCTAAATTGAATATCGAAGATCGACTTTATTGTAATTTATACACGACGAAGACTAGGACAGCTCATTGTAAACATTAATTGATAATGTCCATCCTTGCCTAGGAACATTTACATTGTTTATTTTATAATCAGAGTCGTCTTCGTATTTATCAATATTATGAAGAAAATTTTTAAAAAGCTTGGGATGAAATCAAAATTTAAGTATAAAAGTCGTCTTCATTGTATTGATATGAACGCCGACCACTGTAGTTTCTGAGGTGTCCTAAAATGTAAACAGACCCTATTCTCCTTCCAAGTTTTACTAAAAATCAAAGTATTGTTTGAAAAAAAAGTATTATTTAAAAAAAAATAATCTTATTTTTTTTTACTGATGAAGAGCATGCAGGTTGAGTAGGGCTAGCTGATGTACTGCCAGGGGTAGGTAGGAGGGGTATATACCTCGACCTACCCCACCGTAGGGTAAACTACCTGCAGGGTAGGAAAGTATACCGGGGTAGCCCGCGTAACCACGACCAGTATATGCAGCAGCATATGCAGCTGCAGCAGTTGGAAAACCTAAAAATAAAAAAAATAAAAATAATATTTATTTATCACAATGTGGATTCACGCCGAAAGTTTGAATGAGAAACCCAAATTATTATCACAAACAATCGATTATTTTAAATTTTGGTTCCTCTGTTAATGTGACTTGCAGATTTCTGTAGAAGAAAATTTGAAGGAAATCGTGAGTCCGATAAATACCGGTTTGGAGCATGCAACGATAGGACTCATGTGAACCCGGCCTCATAACCTTGATTTCCAATAAAAATGTACTGTATAGTCTCTGGAATAAATGTATACACAACTCAGTTAGAATATCCAGCAATAAGTTTGTTTACTTTCGTCCCAAAAACTGCAGTACACTTTTCTGCAACAAAAAAATCTTTCAGAACAAACTAAAAAATCTTGCATGAAACAAAAATGAAAAAAATGAAATATTCACAAAGCTAGACTTTATACTTATATTTCTGTAGCTAAGAATGTGAATTCAAAAACCTAAATTTGACATCAAGAATTTAAATGAAAACTTTCTTTTCTATTTATTTTAAAGGGACTGTAAGTGTAATTTCTTGAGACCCTCCATACAAAGATGGTAATTTACGATTCACAGTTTTGTCTGCTAAAGTATGAATTAGATATTAATGCTTACATCCCTTTCATTTTTGTAAATTTTTTAAGCATGCAAACTAAAATATCATGCACTAAAATCATGCTTTTTGTCTGGCCTATGTTGCCTAAATTAAATACACAACTTTTTGAAGCAAACTCGTTAAAAAAAATCCATTTAGATTTAAAACTTGTTTTTACCTAAACCAAGTTAGCACTTTACAGAGTTGCCCCAAAGACAAAGACGACCTCAAACTCTGTTAATACAGTGGGTGGCGATTTTATCAATACTAGTAGAAGACCTTTTTATTTAAGTTTTGATTATTACCAATATTTTTTTCAAATTACAAGTTTACAAGTAAGTAAAAATCTGGTTTTGTAATTTTTATCTAATTATCTAAGTAAAATTTAAATCGAATGTGGTCTCCATTGTAATGATATATGCGACAATAATTGTATGATTTCAATGTTTAATTGAGTAGTCTGTCCAATCTTGTATGCCGAGTCCATTAGCGCCTGATCCAATCCGGGTTCAGTCATGTGTTTGTTGTCTACTCTGAACCAATAGAAATAGTATGGCGGTAACATCTATCTTTCTATCCATCTCATTATCCAATTAGAGATATGAATCCTTTAATCGGCTCTAATAGTAAATGGAAATATTTACTTCTACTGAAACTATAGTTAATCCCTTTAACAACAAAAGGCAAAACCTTATTTTTGACACATTTTTGAAATTTCATCCTCACAATAAAGCTCTTCGCTTTTAAGGAAACCCATGGGAACCTTGTGGGTAACACGGACTAAAAATAATTTTTTTCAAAATTCAAAATAAAAAAATTCAAATACATTCTTTCCCAATTCCACTTGCAACGCCGCGCCGGACACTTCAGATAGTAATTAAAAAATAATTGATTTAGCATAATCTAAAAATTTAAAATCTGGACCTGGTGTTTGAGCTTTCTATCTATCTATCTATCTATCTATCTATCTATCTATCTATCTATCTATCTATCTATCTATCTATCTATCTATCTATCTATCTGTCTATCTATCTATCTAAAGTTTTATCTACTGCCTGAAGTGTTCCTTATCTACCCTACCCTTGAAGCAAAAAGCAGAACTCTATTAATCACAAATAAAATCAAACTTTAATATAATTTTGAGATTTTTTTGTTTATTGAAAATAATTTGTTTTCTGAAACATTAAATAGATACATTTTAAAAAAATTGCTTGTTCTAACGAAATAAATATGAAGATTTGACTTTAATTGAATTAATTTTATTAATTTTTTATTTTGCCACAAATTCTGATTTTCTAATTCCTATATCTTTACAACCCAATGCTTTAGACCTTAGATATTTTAAACTATAAATTCTATTTGATAAAATAATCTAAATTTGAAATATACAAGTTTTACACCTTCAGATTGCAAAGAAAATTTGAGTTTGTGCCAAAGACTCAATTCCTTACAATTTTTATTTAGAATAGCAAATTCAGATTAAAATAAAATAATTTTTAAATATTTTAAAAGAAATGTTTTTGGGGGGGTTTGGAGAAATAAATTACCTTGCCAAACTCAATTTTTAAATATTTTATATTCAACTTATATATTCAACTTTTATATGCAACTTATATATACAACTTATATATTCAACTTTTATATTCAAATTATATATTCAACTTTTATATTCAACTTATATATACAACTTATATATTCAACTTATATATACAACTTATATCTCAACTTGTATCTCCTTGGACACAACTAAGAGAGGTCAACAAATATTAAGTAAATAGAAGAACAATTTTTACATCAAATTTATTGCTTTTATTTTATTCAGGACTCTACAACGGCTATATATATATATATATATATATACATTACTCAACGAAAACAAATCTCATAATTTGCTGGAAAATGGGAAAAAAATATCTCTTAAAAGTTTTTTTTTAAGAAGACTTTAAAAAATATTTTCATATTCTCTTTATATAATATATAAAACGGCATCAATACATTATTGCATATTTTGGTTTCAAATATTTGTGAATAAATAAAAATTAATGAAAGCTTTATAAGAGACCCCTTTTTAAGAGTGCCATAACCGATTCACGCCAGATCCATTTGAACCTGTTGGCTAGCTCACAGTACATGATAGCTATTTATTTGCAGAATTCAAGGGTTTCTCAATCAATAATCGATGATTTTTAACGATCGGAACTATAATCTCGAGAAAGGATAATTTCAAGTAATCCTCCATGCACAGATGACAATGCCTGATTGTCAACGGTATCCTAAATCTGATCAAAAATGTGGAAGAAACCGTCGTTTTTCTGACTAGAAAAGTGTTTATTTCTGGGAGTTTCTCCATTGCTTCTTATAAAAAAGGAATGCGGAAGCAAGTCACTTTTGCAGTTCAACAAACAGTTTAAAGATATAAAACATGGATATAATATAATTTTTACTTGAATAGACAAAACTTTCAAGGAGACAGTTGTAAATCGGGCATTGCCATCTTTACACTCCTGTATGCCGCTCCATTAGTGCCTAATCCAATCAGGGTTCAGTCATGTGTTTGGTGTCTATTCTAAACCCATAGAAATTGTAAGGCGGTAACATCTATCTTTCTATCTATCTCATTATCCAATTAAAGATATGAATATTTTAATCGGCTATAATAGTAAATGGAAATATTTACTTCTTCTGAAACTATTATGTTATATGAAGGGTTACTTGAAATTACCCCTACAGTCCCCAACTAACGTAAACATATCTTTTAAAGCTTTATCACGAGATCAGTATATGTTATTATTATTTCTACAGAGCAACTAAATTCTACAAAATCTACAAAAAGGCTGGACAACTGTTAGGGAAAAAATTTTAAAATTAGAAAGTTTAAACAAAAATATTTGCTAAATTGCTTAAATGTACTTTTAATACTCTTGGTTTTTACAAAACTTTCTGCAACAGTAAATAACATTATTGACTTTTTCGCACAAACAACAAAGTTGAATAAATTGTAGTTTGCATGTGCAAATTGGCAAATTAGCATGCAAAACACTATGGGAAAATTTATATTTGGGAAGTTCTCAATTGGGCAATTGTACTTTTAGAAGTTGCCAATTGGGAAATTGTACTTGAGAAGTTATCAATTGGGAAATTATACATTTGAAAGTTGTCAATTGGGAAATTGTACATTTGGAAGTTATGAATTGGGAAATTATACATTTGAAAGTGGACGATTGGGAAATTGTACTTTGGAAGTTGCCAATTTGGAAATTGTAATTTTGGCAGTTGTGGATTGGGAAATTGTACATTTTAAAGTTGCTTATGTACATTTGGAAGTTGCTTATTGGGAAAATGTCAGAAAATGTACATTAAAAAGTTGCCAATTGGGAAAATGTACATTTGAAAGTTACACATGTACATTTGGCAGTTTCCAGTTTAGGAAAATGTACATTAAAATGTGACCAATTGGGAAAATGACATTCAAGTTACCAATTGGGACATTGTACATTAAAAAGTTGCCAATCGATAAACAGTACAATTTATAAAATATTTGTCATCGTTAAAACATTAGAAAGTTGTCCATCCTTTACTAGTAAACTACATGTTTTATTGTGCACTAATGTTATTGCTACACATTGCAGGCATATTCAGTATATTTGTCTTGGAATTATTCAACATTATTAAAATTATTAATTTGAAAATAAATGAAAAAGTTATTGGAAGGAGGGAGGATGGGGGAGAGCGAAAGAGGCCAGGGAGAGGAGGGGGAGGGGTGAGAAAAGGAAAGATATGAGAATATTGACAAAACTAGAAATAGACCATTTCAGCTTTGCTAAAGAATCGGATATGATTAGAAAATTGGTCACATTCACAGAATATAACCTGATGAAGGAGGGAAGGATGGATGGACAATTTGAATAATATAGAATTTGATTTATGCAAGGATTTAAGTAATGGAAAAATTTAAGTGATGGAAATATTTGAGTAATGGAAGAATTTCACTAATGGAAGAATTTGAGTAATGGAAGAATTTGAGAAATGGAAGAATTTAAGTAATGAAAGAATTTGAGAAATGGAAGAATTTGTGTAATGGAAGAATTTGAACAATGTAAGAATTTGAGTATTGGAAGAATTTGAGTAATGAAAGAATTTGAGTAATGGAAGAATTTGAGAAATGGAAGAATTTGAGCAATGGAAGAATTTGAGTAATGGAAGAATTTGAGTAATGGAAGAATTTGAGTAATGGAAGAATTTGAGTAATGGAAGAATTTAAGTAATGGAAGAATTTGAGTAAAGAATTTGAGTAATGAACGAATTTAAGTAATGGGAGAATTTGAGTAATGGAAGAATTTAAGTAATGGAAAAAGTTAATAATGGAAGCATTGAAGTAATGGAAGAATTTGAGTAATGGAAAAATTTGAGTAGTAAAAAAGTGTAAGAAATGGAAGAATTTGAATAATGAAAGAATTTAAATAATCGAAGATTTAAAAAAAAAACTAAGGTAAACATTTATGAAAATCAAACAAAAAAATCTTTTAAAATAAAAAACAATTGAATAAGATTAAGAGATAAAGATCTTATGTAATGAGAGGGGTAAAGAGTAAGAAGATAAGAAGGGAGGAGGGAGTGTAGGTAAGGGGTGGGGGTGGGGGGGGTTTTTCTTTGAATAACTTCATTACACTCCTAAAATGTTTGATTAAATTCCTTGGAGATTTTTCTTTTAAAAAATTTAATTTTGAAGTAGAATTTATTCTAAATTGAAATAAATTTAAATCTCAAGAGAAAGAAAAAAGCGATTTTTTATTTTAGATTTTTAGTATAAACTATTGCTTTGGTAGTAAGAAATAAGTTTTACAGTTTTTTTTAAGAAAAAATAATTCCAAGACATAACAATTTTCGTTCGTAAAAAAGAAAGCAGTGTTTACATTACTAATATCTACATACTAAACGGGCCTGGCACTTCTAATTAAAATTGACTCTACACATTTTGATGCTTTAAAATCAATTTAATTTTTTTTGAAAACTTCAAATTTAAAAGAAATGCCGTTTCCTTTTTTAATACATTACTAGTACTACTTCTTTTTAAAGCTCACAGATGTCTAATTTTGTAAAGTGTCATCTTAGAAGAAGAGGGAGGGAGGGAAACAACAATAATTTGTAATCCAAGCCGCAAAAATTTCCTTTATGCCAAGCATGCTAAAGCCTCCAACCACCTCTCCGCCTTTTCCGGTGATGGAAATCAAATTTGTGAACTTGCTATGCCAAAGCAGATTTGGTTTTTGAGGATTACACATTGTTATTAGTTTCATTCCACCCTCTCTTTGGAATTATTGCGATGATTAAATTATTAAACATCTGTGAAACTATTTATTCTACAAGATGTTATATCTACGGTTAGATTACTAATTACATCCAGGGGTGTATCCAGAGGGGGCAGATAGAGCAGCGCCCCTTTCCATGTACGCTTCTGGTCATATTTTTCTTTTCGTTTAAAGCAGCTCGAATTTTTAAAATATAAATTTTCTTCATTGCCCCTGCAAGCTTTTACATGCCAACATGAACTGTTCGCCCAAAACTATCTGGAGCACCAAAATAATCACAAAAACTTGTTCTCAGCCTGCCAGAGTCAAAACTGGTTTCAAAGTGTGGTTGAAACCGGTTTTGCTGCTGCGGAGGAGGGCTAGAAAACCTAGTTTTGGCGCCAAGACTGAGCTGGGCAGCCAACAGCTGATTCATAGTCAACTGAATATCCGGTGACCCAAACAGCTGAAGCTGGCATAAACTATTGAAGTCATGTGATATGTTAGTTCCAGAGAGTGACACCAGGGGCGAATGTGCTTCATTTGTGACAGCATCAAAAGAAGCTTGATTTGGACTTGAAAACGTTAAACTTTGAGTCATCATTAGTGAGTTAGTAGAGGCAACACTGTAAGGGGAATATCTAAGGGTTTGCAGTACACCAGACCCTGGGGAAACCATGAGTAACTCACCAAGACCCCGGGCAGCAGTTCGACCCTTGGCTAGGTTGGCTGGTAGCATTACTTCTTTGGGCTGAGCTTTCTTGCATTCAACCTAGGATAGATTTCATATTTACAGGTTGAGTTACAATTTTTTATGTTTATGTAGATTTTTTTTAATATATGTATCTTCAAAAAAAAATTAATTTTTAATTTTTAAAATTTCATTTAATTTCTGGTTGACAGGCACATTTTACTCTTGAATCGCTTAAACTTTATTAAAATTGACCCCTGAATGCTATTGTTTCATTAATCGGTTAACTTATAATTATTATTTGATGGATTATTTTAGCTTTTTGAAAAATTAGTTTGTATCATGGCCTAACACTGCACTAATAAAAGTTAAAATTCTAATATACATGATTTGGTACTTCAATTTAACTTTAAAAAGATCATATGAAGCAAAGAAAGGAACAAATCTGTAAACTATGACAACCCAGAGACGCCTAGAAATACGTCTTTTATAATTTGAATATAATACTTATTCATTTTTAATATTTAAATTTCAATTAAATCTTTTTTGTTGTATCTTGCGACCAGAATTTTTTACTGATGGCAGTGCTGTATCTGGTCATGTGGCTCCGTTGCCTCGACAAGATCACTGATGTACGAATTTTTGCATTTCTTGGACATGGGGACACAGTTTTATTCAGTTTCTTGAGACAGGGACATCAGAATAAAATATTATTCATGGCAATCAATGCCTAACATTAATAGGCTACGGTCCCTTTCATCTTACCTTAACAGTACTTTTATGTAAATAAATTGGAACATTTAAAAAGTTGTTTTTAACTTATTATGATAAAAACAATGAATGATATAAATGAAAGCTGTGAAAAAATAAAATTATAAATTCCAAGAATCCGTCTTTAATAATATTAGATGTAAAATTGGATAAAAGAAAAAGTTTGAAAAGTTTGGCTCGAAAATTAATAAAATTAATCTTATTAAAATATATTTANTATACCCCGCCGGTTCATGCTGATTATATTTATGCAGTCAAGGAAAGGTAGAAAAATGACATAGTAAATCTTTTTTAGAAGTTAAACGGCAATGTATTCCTCATCATTAAAATATGATTAAAAATTTTAAATCTTGGAGTGAAGGATCAGTACAAGTTACGCTAGCAGTCTCTTTGTGGCTAGATTGTGACATGGAAAACAAGATAATGCGGAACAAGAAAAATAAAAATATTGATATCATGACTCACCATTTTATTGTTGATTTCGTGGAAATGAATTTCACAAACTTTATCCACCACCTCTTCATTCTCATAGGTTATAAACCCAAAACCTCTGATTATTCAAACAAAATTCTAAATTTTTGAAAACATAATTTTTTTACCTTTGTCGCAATTTTTACAGACGTTACCATAGTATTTTACAGTGGCTGTCGTATATATTAATACAATGAAGATGAGTTTCTGTTTTAATTTTGATTTCTACTATCCTTTCAAACAGCATGAACTTGGTACAATCGCAATTTATAAAATAAACTACTGAACAAATCATATCAACAGATATTTATTGTAAATCATAATGCAATAAATATTATGCTTGGTGTGTTGCATATAATATACCCCCTGAACATTCTAAGAACTTTGCATTAGAAAGAAAAATTTGAATCAATATGTTATGAACTAATTCTAGAAAAAATTAGAGAAAAAAAAAACAGTTTTAAGTATATTGCTTCTGAGTGTTCCGATAAATTTTAAATATTCGTCTGGGTATCCAATAAACGCCAAAACGGCTGAACCGATCGGGCCCAATTTTTTTGTGGGATCTCGCTTGACCCCAGGGAAGGTTTATGAATGAAAAAATTTAAAATTTGTGTTTAAATTTTTTATTTTTGTAAAAAAATGTTGAATCTTGAAAATTCGCATTTTTTTTCACAAAATCCGCGAATATTTTTTTTCTTTGTTTTGCAATGAGAACATGTTCACAATTGAAATAAAAGATGGGCACGAAGCGCCTTAAAAGCCCAGTTACTTTAAAATTGATCAAAAATATCATCTAGGAAATGGAAAATTTAAATCTTTTTGTTTGTATAAATCCCTGTGTCTATTTGTTTGTTTATCGAACATCAGCATTGCATCTTCTATCTAAACATTAAACAAATTTACTAAATAAAAGTTTTAAGAAAATAATAAAATAAAAAGTATATTTCTAGAATTAAGTCAAAGATCAAATCTAATCAAAATTTATAATCCCCCTTAAAAAACCCGATTATTTAAATAATTGGAACGAATTTTTTAAATACATGGACCTCTGATGACATACTCTGAAATAAATCCTGAATATGATCTTTTTTAATCATTTCAAAAATGGAATTTCATCAATTTGGACTATGTTTCTGAACTTCTAAATGCCGGCTCAAATTTGAACCAACAGTTGAAGAATCAGGAAAGATTTGAATCAGTTGATACAGTTTAAACTGTTGGCAGGCAGTTCAGCTCACATCTCAATTCATTTGATTCGGTCCCACGGACTTTGCATAGCAAGACATGGTTAAACCACGTCTGCACGGTTCAGCGACTTTGTGCAAATTCATAAAATTCTGTCCCAGAGGTTATATTAAAAAGTGTGAAACTTTGGCCCAGAATAAACAAATAATAAAGATAATGAAAAAATGCCTGACTTGCGAATAAAAGTAATAAATAGAAGAACAGGAGAATAATAAGAAAAACAAATTATACCGGAAAATGCAATGAATCAAAAAGGTTGGAAACTTTATTCTGAAAACAATTAAAACATGGTTAAGCAAGAAAATAATTAGGGATGGTGATTTCTTGTTTCTTTCTTATTTGTTATCAAACTTTCTGTGACCCCCATCCTATTTTTGCAAAAAAAGGAGCAATCTATCTTTTTAAACATAGCCTGGGATCTAGATGTAATAAGCTGGTGAGGTATTTGAACTACCCACCTCAGGTTCAAATCCTAAATTACCGATTCAAATCCTTATAAATCTTAAATCGTTGATTCCGGCGGACTCAGTTCAGCAATCTAACTCAAATTCATTAGTTCGGTCCCTAATTTATTTTAATCAGGGGTTAGCTGTTTTTCTAAGAAAAGGGTAGCGGGCGGGGTTTTATAGAAGAAGTATCAGAGCCCAGTTTTTTAAATTATTTTGATTGAAGAAAGAATGTTGCACAAAACTGCATTTGATTAAGAAATGAAATGATTTTGAATGTAAACAAAAAATGCAAAAACAATCTGATTAAAAAAAAAAATTTTGAACCTTTCCAAATTGGTCGAAATACGATCTAACATCCTCCAGGGTCGTCCCTCCTCTCTCTATTCCTAATACTTTCCCCTACCTACTGGACGAAACATCCCCAATTGTAGATTTAAAAATTATATCATTCAATAACATCCGGGTTTGCCATTAAAGACTGCCAATGTTGGCTTGGCAAATCCCGTCATTAAAGTGTATAGTTTAAAGAATATATCTATGTAAAATTATGTACTTTAATGATAAATAAATATTTAATTATCTATCTATTAACAAAATGAAAACTAGAGAAAACGAGTGCGAGAAGAGAGAGATGGGATTGGTCATGGCTGTACAGTGTACACAGAGAGAGCGAAAAGTTTTTAAACGTTTTATTTTCAAAAAAAAGTTTTAATACAACTCAATTTTGTATTATTAAGATTAAATGTTTTTTTTAATATTCTTAAAAAGTAAATACTAGCATACACTTTTTTGATAAATTCAAGATTTTTAAGTTGGAATTTGATATTCTGATATTTTTGCAAACATTAAACTCTTAAAATGTGGGGTCCCTTTACCAGTTTCAAAATAATAAATGAAAATAAAAATGATTACTTAAAATCAATATTTACTAATATCCTTAATTCCAATAAATATTTTATCTGTAGATCTATAGAAAATACATATACATATATTAATATAAATGTAAATCATAATTATTCTTTTGATATTTCTATTTTCTGTATAATCGCATCAGTAGAAAAATAAAATGTTTTTATTAAAAATATTACACAGGGAAATAAATAGCATTACCGATTATTAAACAAAATTTTGTGTTACGATGCACGTGGATTTAACGGTTCTGTCAATATTTCAGAAAGCTGCGACTTTCGATCACAATTTAACCCCTTCTTCATAATTTTTTTACCTTTTTTCTTCAATACTTTTTTGTCGGCATCTATATTTTGAATGTAAAGTATAACATAAATCTGTAAGTTTAAAGAGTGTTGAATTATATAAACTAAAAAAAAATCTAATTTAAAATAAAAGAAACCAAATGCTTCTCACTCTGGTTAGTTCGGGGTGAATGGTACCCTTTAAACCTTTAACTAAGATGAAATGGTTCAGTTATATATATATATATTCCTGTTTTTCTATTTGAAATTTTCTCACAGTAAACTCACGTGGATTTAACGGATCTATCAATATTCCAGAAAACGGTGACTTTTGATCACAATTAGTCCTAATAAACATAATTTTTTAGCCCTTATTTTTAAATACTTTTTTGTTGGCATAGGCATTTTGAATAAAAAGTATAAAACAAACAAATCCGTAAGTTTAAAGATTGTTTAATTATATACCAAAACGCGTATAATTTCAAATAGAAGAAACCGAATGCCTCTAACTCTGGTTAGTCCGGTGTGAACTAGACAAACTCTGATTTTTTAATCCCTATATCTTTAGAACCCAATGTCGTAGACCTTAGATATTTTAAACTATGAATTGTCTTAGTTCAAGTGATCTAAGTTTGAAATATAAAAGGTTTACACAACTATGTTGACAAGATATAAGCATTAGAAAACTCAATTCCTTTATCTACGTTATTCTTTTCGATACCTCTTTAATGGTGGGGTTTTTGAGTTCAAACATATAAGATTTCAATCATATATGCAATTTATTTTAAATGGCGTAACGTACTTAACAAGAGGGTGCACGTCAAACTAAAGTAAATTGTATGTAAGATTGACATCTTGAATGTTTTCAATAATAACTCAATTATAGAAAATATATTGCGACGAACTAAGACATTTTTATTTTTCAATATTTAATTTTGTCATGCTTGTGCATAAAATCAAAGCTAGAGAAGCTACATAGTCACAAAGTCGCATTGAATTTTATATAGTTTGCAGTTGGTCACTTGAAATATACGACTTTAGTCCCTTTAAAATATAATAGTTCCTAACTATTATATTGTCCTCAGTTCCTTTATAATGGTTCCTAACTATAATATTGTCCTCAGTTCCTTTATAATGGTTCCTAACTATAATATTGTCCTCAGTTCCTTTCTAATGGTTCCTAACTATAATATTGTCCTTAGTTCCTTTATAAATGATCCTGACTATAAAATTGTTCTCAGTTCCTTTATAAAGGTTCCTGACTATAATATTGTCCTCAGTTCCTTTATAAAGGTTCCTGACTATACTATTGTCCTCAGTTCCTGTGTAAAGGATCCTGACTATAATATTGACCTCAGTTCCTTTATAAAGGATCCTGACTATAATATTGTCATTAGTTCCTTTATAAAGGATCCTCACTATAATATTGTCCTCAGTTCCTTTATAAAGGATCCTGACTATTATAATGTCCTCAGTTCCTTTATAAAGGATCCTGACTAAAATATTGTCCACAGTTCCTTTATAAAGAATCCTGACTATAATATTGTCCTCAGTTCCTTTATAAAGGATCCTGACTATAATATTGTCATCAGTTCCTTTATAAAGGATCCTGACTATAATATTGTCCTCAGTTCCTTTTTAAAGGATCCTGACTATAATATTGTCCTCAGTTCCTTTATAAAGGTTCTTGACTATACTATTGTCCTCAGTTCCTTTATAAAGGATCCTGACTATAATATTGTCCTAAGTTCCTTTATAAAGAATCCTGACTATAATATTGTTCTCAGGTCCTTTATAATAGTTCCTGACTATAATATTGTCCACAGTTACTGTATAAAGGATCCTGACTAAAATATTGTCCTCAGTTCCTTTATGAAGGATCCTGACTATAATATTGTCCTCATTTCCTTTATGAAGGATCCTGACTATAATATTGTCCTCATTTCCTTTATAAAGGATCCTAACTATAATATTGTCCTGAGTTCCTTTATAAATGATCCTGACTATAATATTGTCCTCAGTTCCTTTATAAAGGATCCTGACTATAACATTGTCCTCAGTTCCTTTATAAAGGATCCTGACTATAATATTATTGGTGTTGAAAGAATGATTAAAGACAGTTTTCTTTCTATTTTCACAAAGCTAGGTCTATCAGGCAATCTTGGCTTAACAATATATATCAAGGGGTGAAAATGATTCTGAAAAATAGTTATACACACCTTCTTCCACTCCTCCCTTTCTACTCCTCCCCTCCCCCCTTCTCNCCCTCCCCCTTCCACGTTTTACATTTTATTTTTTGAGTTTAGAAGAAAAAAACAATAAACACACGTATTTTTTGCCATTTTTTTAGTTAGAGAGTTTTCAGTTGTCAGTAAGTTGCTCCCCTCCCCCTCTGGAGCATTTTTGTTCATACTGTTTATCAATCTAGAAAACTGAATAAAATGATTTTTGGTAACTTTTATCATTTTCAAAGAAACACTGAAGATAACAATTTGTATTAATCGATATAAAAAACATTCAATGGGAGGGAAATAACGTTTTTGCAAAGAACAGTGTTTTGCTACAAACTCTGGCTTTATCATCTCTATATCTTTGCAACCCATTGTTGTAGGCCTTAGATGTTTAAAACTATGAATGTTATGTAATAAATTGGTCTAATAAAATATCAATAATAGCCAGGTTACAAAGATAAACACATTTTGTCTTTGTTACATAGACTTCTTTTGCGAGGGGTTATTTTCTTTTTCATTTTTGTATTCTTATAAGCTCAAATTTTTTCCTTTAAGCTTAAATGTATTCTTAAAAGCTCAAATGTATTCTTATAAGCTTAAATGTATTCTTAAAAGCTCAAATTTATTCTTATAAGGTTAAATGTATTCTTATAAGCTCTCAATTGTATTCTTATAAGCTTAAATGTATTCTTATAAGCTTAAATGTATTCTTAAAAGCTCAAATGTATTCTTAAAAGCTTAAATGTATTCTTATAAGCTCAAATTTATTCCTATAAGCTTAAATGTATTCTTATAAGCTTAAATGTATTTTTATAAGCTTAAATGTATTCTTATAAGCTCAAATGTATTCTTATAAGCTTAAATGTATTCTTATAAGCTCAAATGTATTCTTATAAGCTTAAATGTATTCTTATAAGCTTAAATGTATTCTTATAAGCTCAAATGTATTCTTATAAGCTTAAATGTATTCTTATAAGCTCAAATGTATTCTTATAAGATCAAATGTATTCTTATAAGCTCAAATGTATTCTTATAAGTTCAAATGTATTTTCATAAAATCAAATGTCATAAATTTATTTGTCATATTTTCTTTAATTATCTTTTAATTATTCAAAATAATTCTTTTAATTACAAGTCCGCATTATTAAAACAGTCCTTTCAATAATTGTTAGTTTTCATTCATACAATGGTCGGCGTTTATAACAATATAATGAAGACAACTTTTCTATCACATGTTTGATTCCTTACAAGCTTTCTATCAAGTTACAAGATTACAAGTAAACAGAGTGAAACTGATTTTTGACAGCTTCTTTTTTTCATGTTTTTGTGCATCATGTTGTTTTAAAGCTTGCTAGAAGTAAAAAATTTAAATCAAAAGTCGTCTTCAATCTATTGATAAGTACGACGACAACGACGACTGTAAAAATAATATTTTTTGAGAAAAAAGTTACCTTAGGATGAGCTCGCCGTGGGAATGCAACTTTAGGATCAATCTGAAAAAGTAAATTATTGTTTTATAGTAACAATCAATGTAGATATAAGAGACCCTGTACTAATTGAAAGGAAGTAAGGAGTAAATTTATAAGTAGCGATCTAAACTTAGAACCTCTTTCATATTTGTCGAACACTCCCTTATTAAAGGAATCCCAAGAATACTAAGGATTAAGAATAATTGGTCCCTGAAATATTAAGGATTATGAATGAGGTCCCTGGAATTACCTTTTTTCCATCAAGATCATGAGTTCCATGTTCCAGAACTTTATCTACCCCAGTTGAATCAGAAAATGTTACAAAACCGAATCCTCTGAAAAAATAACATAATATAATTGCATTATTAAATATAACTAGCTAAAGTGCCCGGGGTTGCCCGTAAAATTTTTAAAAAATTGAAACAAAAAATCAATTAATTTGGCCAGCTAAAGCTAAACATACATATATATATGAGCGAAGAGCTTTATTATATAGATTACTCATCATAGTCAGTAAAGCGTGCATGCATCCTCATATATTTTACCTTGATCCTCTAGTAGTTGAATCCTTCATAACCATAACTTTAATATATTATACCTTGATCTTCTAGTAGTTGGATCCTTCATAACCATAACTTCAGAAATTTCTCCAAATTTTGAGAAATATTCCTTCAATCCTTCAGGTGTAGTTTGCCAGGATAATCCACCAACAAACATCTTCCTAAACAGAAACAAAATTTAAAAAAAAAAATTAATTTTTCTTCCTGCATTTTTTTACTGCTCCCCTTGTAAAGATATAATTTTTTTATTCATAGAAACAAGTTTAATTTACTCATTTTTTCATTCGGAAATTAAAAAAGTTAACTTCAGTTGAAGATTTAGGCTTGCGCAAACAAAAAAGGAATTGAGTCTTCTATACATAATCTGAGTTTCTAATCCTTTTATCTGTCCAACCCAATATGTCGTAGACCTTAGATATTTCAAACTATGAAATTTGTTGAACAAAAATCTAAGTTTGAAATATCTAAGGACAAGGTTTAAACCGAATATGGTTGCAAAGATCTAGGTATCTAAGGACAAGGTTTACACCGAATATGGTTGCAAAGATCTAGGTATCTAAGGACAAGGTTTACACCGAATATGGTTGCAAAGATCTAGAGTGAGATTCCTTTATTCCTTTGTTTGGTTGAGGAATATATATTCGAATACAGTTTTTAAATTTAATCTCAAAAATCGATGTTTTCATTTAAATTCATGTTTCCTCTAAGACAAGTTTATAGGTTCTGGTTTGACAGAAAACAAGAGTATAAAAATATTTTGTCTAGTGAATGGTTCGAAAAATAGAATTTATGATTCTTGGCTTTACAATAGTTTATATCTTTTCTTCAGATAATAATCCTGGGGGTAGGGGGATTGAGGGATTAGGGTTGGGGGGGGTGGAATTTTTCGTTTAAAAACATATATTTTACCAAAAAGACAATTTAATTTTAAAGTATTTTCCCATTGAAACTGTTTTTTGTTACAAAAAAAAGGAAATGTAAGCGTAATTTCAAGTAACCCTCCAGGCAAAGTTGACAATGCCCGATTCACAACGGTACCTGTAATTTATACTCTGTAATTGAATGTGTTAATTCTATCTATGAATATACTTTGCTTGTCTGGGTGTCTGTCTGTTTATATCTAATAAACGTCAAAACGGCTGAACTGATCGGGCCCAAATTTTGTATGGGACCTGACTTGACCCCAGGGAATGTTTATGAATTATCAACATTTTAAAAATTTGTCTTAAAAAGTTTTTATTTTTGTAAAATTTTGAAAATGCGTGAAAAAATATTATCCGCAAACTTTTTATATATACTGTACAAAGTGAAGATGCTTACAGATAAAGCCACAAAGAAAAGTTAAAAAAGTAGATGGGCGCGAAGCGTATTAAAAGCCTAGTAGATATATATATACTCTGTAAGATATATGTATACTCTGTAAACATGTATACTCTATAGATATATTTGTATATTCTGTAAACATGTATAATCTATATATATATATATATATGTATGTATACTCTGTAAACGTGTATACTCTATGGATATATGTAATTAATACTCTGCAAACATGTATACTCTATGAATTTATGTAATTAATACCCTATAAATGTGTATACTCTCTGTTTAACGCGTGTTGGTGAATAAATAGATGAAACCTTATAGTTTAAGTAAATATTCTTCAAAGAAACCCCCAGAAGAACACATTTTATATCACTAGAGACCCGCGGACAGAGAAAACTTAGAAGCGTAATTAAACACATTTTCAAACCAGGGTTACCCACAAAAGGATAAGACTGCAAAGACGACCTGAACCTCATTTAATATGATGATTTTAAGGACAAATTTATTATTTTGCCTTGAAAATAGTCATTAAATGATCTTCTAATAAATATGACAAAGAGAACCATGAATATATAAGGAAATAGACCGAATGAATTGCGTACAGTCGTATCTAAAGAGAACCATGAATATATAAGGAAATAGACCGAATGAATTGCGAACAGTCGTATCTAAAGTCTCATCCTTTGTGGGTAACCCTGTAGTTTATTAGATTTCTTTCATATACCTGTATATTTACTGATGCAAAAATTAATGTAAAATGGAAAAATGAGCAAAAAAGACATTTTTAAACAAAACAAATCTTACCCTGGATCATTTGGAACATCCTCACTTCCTGATCCTATCTGAGCCATGATTGCTGGATCCATCCTGTCTTATCTGTGTACACTTTCCCAGGAACAGTTTCCCGGATTTTTATCTTTAAACTTCTCGCAGATTTTCTCTCGGTTCACGAAACGAAATATCACAAAATAAATATATTTTTTTCTAGAGTTTGCGTTTTCAGATTTGAGTATGCTCTACGGTTTTTAAAATTATTGCTTGTGTGTAAGTTTGTTGTGTGTTTGTCTGTACAAGGTACAGTTCTATAGAGAGAGATAGTTGGACGATTTGGTGTTTATATCACGCAGTTCCTTTAAAGCTACACAAAACTTCAGGTTGTGGGAATATTTCCCCCCAATTCTTAAAAAAAGGAATGGAAAAGTAAAGTTACGTATGAACTAACAACTTTTATATATAAAAATTAGAGATTTAATTTAAATGCTAAGACAATAAAAATAGGTTTAAAGGAAAGTGAAAAAATAAAGGTCTTTCAGCGGGACCCAAAAAACTGTGGAATAGAAAGACGACTGTGAAACTGAAGTTATGATTTTTAATGTTTTTTAATAAACATTTTAAATGAAACAACGCAATTGTAAATTTGAACAAAAAACAAAACAATTTGACTGGTAACACTACAACAACATGAAACGCAAATGTCGTCTTTCTATTAACCACATTTTATGGGTTTCACTGTATCATATTGTATGGGGGAAAGTAGAGATGGTTGAAAAGAATAACACATGTTGTGAAAAATATTGAAAGGGGGAAATGTTTGCTAGAGGAGGGGAAAAATCAAGGAGGGTGGGGAAAATTAAATGATTATAGACTGAGCACGGAGACAACAGGAAAAATTGAAATAACAATTTTTAAATCAAGGAAAAGAAGTTTCTTTTTATAAAGGGTATTAACGTGCAGAAAGATGTCAGGAGAAGGGGGGCGGATAATATATTCCTATGCAGAGAAAAACCATCAACCCTTACCTTGATTAGAAAGAAATTTTCATAGAAAAGTTGGGATTGATTGATAGATACATAGATTGATATATAGATAGATATATAGATAGATAGATATGTAGATAGAAAGATGAATAGATAGATACAAAAAAGATAAATATATTGATAGATATGTAGATAGATAGATATATAGCTAAACAGATAAATATATAGATAGATAGATAGATAAATATATATGGGGGGGAACACGAGGTAATGAATCACAGAAAAATGTATGAAAAAAATTGAAAAATACAATTTTTTTTATTTGATTATGTTGTTGACATATTTTAAAAGATACTGAAAAAATTTAACCAAAACAACAATAAAAATATATAAGAAAAGAATTATTTTTTCGATAATGTTGACATAATTTTTAATTTTGTAGCTTTAATACCTATGTATCTGTCTATCTATCTAACTAAAGCCGCCTACTCTACTCTAAGCGGCTATACAAGTACTGAAAGCTGAAACCATCATCTACCTCCTAGATTGGGCAGTTGGCCCAGCCCGCCATTCAGGCACAAGATTTATGTCCCAACACGGTGTCTGCCTGTACCGGTCCGCCGAAGATGGTTTAACTCTCTGTCCGGAACCATTGGTGGTCTGGCCCGGGTCATTGGAGTCTGCAGCCGGCACAATCCGGGCTCTTCGCGGATTTTCTTCAGTTCTTTATAGAGATTTTCGGGATATATGCAAATACAACTTCGGGACTGGGAGAATTAAGGCTGAAGTATTTCAAATTAAAATTAATTGAACAAAGATGGTACAAGGGACTGTAAGCAAAATTTAAAGTGACTCTCCATGCAAAGATGTCAATGCCTGATTCACAACTGTACTCTGAAAAGCTTTGAATAAGATATAAATGTATATAATATTAAAAACTGATAATTTTCATTTAAAGTCTCTTTGCAAAAGTGACTTACATATTTTTACTGCTTGAAAACATATTAGAATTATCAGAATAGAACACTTTTAAACCTAAAAAACAACAATATCTTCCACATTTTATATAAGATAGAGGTTTCAAAGGTATGGTTGTGAATTTTGCATTGCAATCTTTGCATGGAGGATTACTTTGCTTAGAGAGTTGTATTTGGCAATGATAAAAATGATAATGAAATATAATAAAAATGTATTTGAATATTTTAGTAAATTAATCAGATATGATAAACCTTGTTAAGATTTCTTACATCTTTAAGCCTGCCAGGCCTGCATGTAATAAATACAGAGGCCCCATAGTAAATCTAAAGAAATTGAGTTGCACATATAGCTAAATGCACTCATTTGTAAATACAAAAACCATGGATTGCGATTAACCCAATACACAGATATATAAAACTCTCCATAAAATCCATATCGTAATTGCTTAACTACGTTATATATAACAGGGCATAAGTTGTAATTATGCTGTTAAAACCTATCTTTAATCATACATCTAGAAATACACTCAGTTGATATAAAGACCCCAATTTGATTGCTGCAAGAGAGTAAGTAATTTGGGTCTTATTGAAACATACGAGCTGAGATTGTGCCCATTGGTTTGGCATAGAAACACGTGCTTGTGTTCTTTTACACATTGATAGCTGATTGTGCCCATTGGTTTGGCATTGATGGATTAGGTGATTGTGTTCTTTTAGACATTGATAGCTGATTGTTCCCATTGGTTTGGCATTGATCAATTAATTGCTTGAGCCCATGTAGACATTGATAGCTGATCTTGCTCATTGGTTTGGCATTGATCGATTAAGAGCAATTGTGTCCTGTTTGACATTGATACCTAAGCTATTATCCGTCTTGACATCGATAGCTGACGAGATTGTGTCTGGGTTTAGCATTGATAGCTAAGTGAAACTGAATTGTACCTTGATAGATACAGGTTCGAGAAACCTTTACGGAGTAGGGCATTTACTACATGCATGCATCATGTGATACTAAAACAAAAAAGATATTAAATGGATCTATCTTTATTAACATTAAAAAAAAAATTAAACATTTTTGGAGATGCGGTTTTTAATCCTATAAAATGACCATTAACTTAAATCTTTTCGCACAAATGGGTTTTACATTAAATTGTAAACAAATACTACTCAACCAACTGATATTTAAAAAGCAGAGTCAAAAAGCATTATATTATTATATTCCAATAAACCACTGTTTAGTCATTTAAATATATATAGATATTAAATATAGATTCATCAGATTTACAGAAAAAAATGAGTTATGAATCCCGATTGGTATGAATGGTGAGTATCCCGAAGTGCCGGTTGTTGGTTGTGTAGCAGGGTCGAATGTCAGATCTTACACCCAACTCTCTCTTCTTCCTCTCTCCGGGCTTTCTCTTGAACATCTTCAAGTCGGCAGGGGCGGGGGGAATTTCAGGCATCTTTGTACCAACACTGCCTGCAGGCCTTGCCCGCCCGGTCCGACTAAATCAGGACTTTACTTCTCTCATCGAGAATATTTCCGTGTCAGTACCACCTGTTCGGCGGAGATTTCCTTGACGGTCCGGTCCGGAGTTTAATGCATTTCCCACATTTTCTCGGCACGTACCGTTTCCGGATTTTCTCGGGGGGAGGCCGTTTGAGCCGTCCCAGGCCGCAGAGGCATCCAGGCCTTTATCTAGGTTTTCCACCCCGGAAATGGTCCAAAATCAACCTGCAGGGACCCACAGATAATTTTTTGGATTATTTTGATTAGGGCCCCCAAATAAAAAAGATTTTATTTTTTTTCTCAAACCGTTTGAATTATTATTCGATTTAAACGCTCTAAAAAAATGTTTAAAAATGAATAAGAAAGAAGTGGTACCCGGTGAAGTGGTGGCTAGACACATACTTAACGGAGATAAAAGAAGGTTTTGCTATATAAGATGAATAGATTTATTTTAGATATATATATATAAACCATCCAGTGTTATACTAATGAACCAAAATAAACAACAAAAGAAAATAAATGCATTCCTTGATATAGTGAGCTTAGAGAGCGCTTCACATCTCTGTTTTTAATAATAAACATTAACTTTGGTTTCTCTTGTGGATTTTAGAATTAAAGAAAATAAGATTTGTTGAATAGTCATGTTATTAATATCCTTTAATATTTTAATAATATCCTTTAAATCATATCCTTTAAATCATATCCTTTAAATCATATCCTTAAATCAAATCCTTTAAATCATATCCTTCAAATCATATCCTTTAAATCATATCCTTTAAATCATATCCTTTAAATCATATACTTTAAATCATATCGTTTAAGTCGTATCCTTTAAATCGTATCCTTTAAATCATACTGTTTAAATCATAGCCTTTAAATCATATCCTTTTAAGTATATCCTCTCTAAATCATTTCCTATAAATCATATCCTTTAAATCATATCCTTTAAATAATATCCTTTTAAGTATATCCTCTAAATCATATCCTATAAATCATATCCGATAAATCATATCCTTTAAATCATATCCTTTAAATTATATCCTTCAAATCGGTCATAAACCTTTCCTGACCCTGAAATAATAAAAAAGATTCTAAAACATTATGAAATGTACAATGGGAAAATTAATGTGTACGAATTGTACAGTGTACATTTGACGTAAAAAAATACCATGAGTAGCAAATTACGAAAATTAAAGTTTATCTTAAATCTTATCAGAGCCATTTCCTTTTCCTTACTTTCCATACATAACTTATATATCTATCTATCTATCTATCTATCTATCTATCTATCTATCTATCTATATATCTATTTATCTATCTTATCTATCTATCTATCTATCTATCTACCTATCTATCTATCTATCTATCTATTATCTATCTATCTATCTATCTATCTATCTATCTATCTATCTATCTATCTATCTATCTATCTATCTATCTATCTATCTATCTATCTATCTATCTATCTATCTATCTATCTATCTATCTATCTATCTATCTATCTATCTATCTATCTATCTATCTATCTATCTATCTATCTATCTATCTATCTATCTATCTATCTATCTATCTATCTATCTATCTATCTATCTATCTATCTATCTATCTATCTATCTATCTATCTATCTATCTATCTATCTATCTATCTATCTATCTATCTATCTATCTATCTATCTATCTATCTATCTATCTATCTATCTATCTATCTATCTATCTATCTATCTATCTATCTATCTATCTATCTATCTATCTATCTATCTATCTATCTATCTATCTATCTATCTATCTATCTATCTATCTATCTATCTATCTATCTATCTATCTATCTATCTATCTATCTATCTATCTATCTATCTATCTATCTATCTATCTATCTATCTATCTATCTATCTATCTATCTATCTATCTATCTATCTATCTATCTATCTATCTATCTATCTATCTATCTATCTATCTATCTATCTATCTATCTATCTATCTATCTATCTATCTATCTATCNCTTTTATGTAATTTCTTTTATGTAATTTCTTTTATGTAATTTCTTTTAAGTATGACCGATTAAATTTGCTTTTTTCACCCTCGTGCGCCAAATTAACATTAAGAGGTCACATAGTTACAAAAAGAATGCTTCATAAATTTGACTATCTCCGTCTGTCTATGCATAGCTAAATAATAAATACTAGGCTTTAAAGGCTCTTTGCTCCCATCTACTATTTCAATTATGAACATATTCTCTTTGCATACACTATAAAACAATATTAAACAAAAAAAAGTTCGTGGATTTTCAAAACTTTTTGGAGGCTAAATTTTGATCATCCATAAACCTTCCCTGTGCTCATGTGAGGTCCGATACAAATTAGGGCCCGGTTTGGACGGTTATTGGAAACAAACAAACAAAAACCATAACAGACAAGCCAAGTATATATAGAAGATTGAAAAGAAAGGCCGGAGGGAAATAAAGCCGTTAGCTTTAAAGAATTAGTCACAAAGTTTGAGAGTTTAGTTGTTTAGTTTAGTTTAGTTCAGTGCTTTTATAATTAGTATTTAGTTTATTTGTTTATATTTAATATGGTTTGATTGTTTATATTTCTAAATCTTTTAACCCTATCTCTGCTGGGGTACTTGAATACCAGGATATGCTGGGGGGGGGGGGGG